CAGCAGACTGAAGGGTTTTTCAGGTACTTAAGCTAGGGAGGTCCATACGCACCCACTGGTGACAGAAACACTAAACAAGCTGACACACACACACACACACACACACACACACACACACACACACAGAGGTCAGGTCATTTTACCTGCCTCTAGTGTTAAGTGGTTCCCTTTGCAGGGTTTTGTTTGTCAGTGGGACCTTAGATTAGCGCTGTAAGCTAGTTAAAAGCACTGATATGTGGGGAACTTCTGGCTATCCACATTAGGACAGAAATAGCTGCCTTAGTAAAGCTTCCTCTTCAGTGATGTGCTGTCATTTTCCAATTTTTATTTATCCTTCATTTGTTTCAGTAGCTATTAAACAACCATTAAAATCTTCGTATTTAAAAACCTGAATTTCGAATCTGATGTCCAGATTAATTAAAATGTAAAATTAATGCCTGGCCTCTAAAGACTCTTTCTTAGTTCTTTAAACTTTCTCATCTGCATGTTTGTGATTTTTTTTTCTCCAATCTGAATTCTTGAGTTCAGTCCAAGTCAGTGTCTGACTCTGAGCTCAGAGCAGGCAGAGAGACAAAGCCTTGAAAGAGGGTCTGGTCCCTTGACTCCCCTGGCTCTTTGTTCAAAGTGGGGCCGCGATGTACTTACTTAGAAAGAGCACTTTTCAGCTAGGCCGTAAGGCGATCCTGGGTCTTTCCTGGCCAGGGTGTGCCTTGGGCGTCTCTGGTTTACCTGCGGGACCAGGAGGAGTGGGTTGGGGGGGTGGGCTGGTCCTCTCTGCGTCGGGTAGCAGTGGGGAAAAGGAAAACAGGTGGTCAGTAGAAGAGGGGAGCGAGAGAGAGAGGCTGAGAGAAGGGAGGGGGGTTGGAGGGATGGATGTAAGGTGAGAACTCTGAGAAAGGACAAATAAACAAAGGTGGCGATGAGGGTCTGAGGTGAATTAATTGTATCAACCTTTCCCTCTTTGGCGACAGTCTCCAGAGAGAGCAGCCCAGGAAACAGCACACTATCAGCTTAGACCCAGAGATTGATGGTTCCTCTCCAAAAACAAAAGTGAACATCTTGTTTTGTTTTGTTTCGATTCTGCTTCAGAAAAATATAGGACATGGCCCAAAAAAGATCAGGTGAAGAAGATTCACAACAGATAAAAAATTATTTCAAATAAAGCTTTATCCTTCAAATGTATCAAATGTTTGAATTAGATTAGATTAGTTGCAGCAAAAGCTTAGAGATACATGGACAGTAAATGAGATTCTTTGCAAATCTGCTTCTAGTTTCTGAAAATGTGTTTGTTTTTCATGCAGCTAAAACACAACCAAGCCCTAACCCTAAATAATAGTTGGAAATGAGGAATGCTAAGAGCTTTTTTTGGTGTAATACTATTCCTGCCTTTTGAATCACACAGTTAAGTTAATATACTCTCTGATCTAAGGCAAACAAAATGGTCAAAAATGGCATCTTCATCCCTTTAAAAGGAAATCTACGACACAGTTAACTCTACAACCGGTGAGGAAAACTGATTACATCATGCGTCAGCTGTATACAGAGTGATATGACAAGTAAACATTTATTGTCAGCAGTGAACTGTCTTCACAGTTGGGATTGCCATAAAAACTGCTTCAGAAGTCCACGCTCAGCATCAGCTGGGTTAATTCTTAAACCAGGTAACTTAAATTCATTTTACATCGTGGGGCCACATACAGCCTGTTTAGTGTGCTGGAGTAGTGAAACTGCTCTAGTGTGAAAGGAACTTCAACTAC